TGCTCACACATTGTCACCTGTCTGAGCCATCACAGTTCTTTCCTTTTACACCTCACACCCCCCACCCCCGGGGGCTGCCCTCCTGGCTCCCTAGCTGCTTACCCCCCTCCTCCAGCTCTTCTAACTCTCCTCCTCCCAGCCACCCCAGCCTATCTTTGGATCCCATCTCTTCATCCAAACTCTCCTGGAGACATCCATCTCTCTGAGCTTTAAACGCCCCTAAGGACTGAGGACTGTCTGGATGCAGTTGCCAGGTTAGTAAGCATATCACACTTAACAGGATTAAAGCCATCCTCCCTACCCAGCCTGCTGCCAGCACCGACGCCTAGTTGCTTTGGTTGAAAACCATGTAGCCATCCTGACCACCCATCTCACCCTCACAGCCCATATCCAATCATCAACAGGTTCTATTGGTGTGGTCGAAAGTCACAAGGACAACAAGTTAAAGCTCTTAATTGGCCCCATTAGGGATTCTAGAACCAAGCACTAGATTATTCTAGGAAAGAGAATGAGGGTCCCACAGGCTGAGCAGAGGAGCCTGGGTTTATAGACAGGAGGGCTCAGGACAGCAGAAAGGGGACTGGGCAACACCAGAAAAATAACTGGTTGACACCAGGTGATGTTAAGTCAGTTTTAGTGGAGGGAACCGTATGGTTATGCTGGCTAGACCGGTCTGTTTGGGAGATTTGGCTAGAATTTCTGTTCTCATTTATTTTTTAATTGATTAATTACGTTTTAAATTTTTAGTCACGTATACACATGTATGATCTGTGTGTATATGTACAAGTGCAGTGCCCTGAGAGGCCAGAAGAGGGCGTGAGCTTCCCGGGAGCTGGACTGTGAGCCACCTAATGTGAAAGCTGGGACCTGAACCTACGTCCTCTGCAAGAAGAGCAAATTCTTTTAACTGTGGGGTCATTTCTCCAACCCCGATCTTTAAACACTCTTTGAAAATTACATTTCTTTCTTTATTCCTTTGTTTGTGGGTGTGTGCTTGCCACCGTGCACGTATGCAAGTCAGAGGACACTTGTCAAGTTGGTTTTCTCCTTCCACTATGTGGGTCTCAGGGATTGAATTTCCCTTCTCATCCTCCCCCTCCTCCTCTTCACTCAGATTAACTACCAGAATACTTAAATTGCCAAGCACTGTGGATCTCCTGAGCTCTTTTGAGGGGATCCAGGACACTCCTGGTACAGGGGACTCAATTTGCCTCCCTGGCTGTTGCCCCCACACAGGCTCATCCTGTGTTCCTTCAGTGGTAGCCATAGCTGGCTTCTTCTTCCTTGGAAGCTTTTCCACCCACAACCTGCTCCGGCATCAGCGGTCCATCAAGTACAGGCACATCCCTTGTGTTTCTGGCCTTTCAGGCTTCCCCAACCACCACTGTGGGTGTCTGTCTGTCTTCATTTCTGGTGACATATTAAAAAATTATTACAAGCTTGTGAGCTTAAAATAATACCCATCAATTCTCTCACAGCAGTGGAGGCCTGATGTCCATGATCGCCTTTGCTGTGTACAAACCAAGGCATACATGGGACCTCACTCCACAGGAGGTTCTGGGAGGAGAGTCATGCCGTTGCCTCTCTGGCATCCTCCATCTGCAGATCCAGAAGTGTGGCATCTTGTTTCAGTGGCAATGCCACTTTCTTCCCCTGTGGAAAAACCTCCCTTTGCCTCCATCCTGTAATAATAGACACTGTGGCTCCATGCAGGATTCACCTTGTCAATCCAGGATAATCTCTTCATTGTGCCTTCCTTACTTTCCTCACTCCTGCTTCTTCCTGTGCTGCCACAGTCACCTGGTTGCGGGGATCAGGTCCTGGACATCTTGGGTACCACCTGGACATCTTCAGAGTCACAACCCTCCTGCGGGGCCTTTGACACCCAAGAAGGTAGGTTTCTCTACAGCCTTGCCCCTTCCCACATCTCTCATGATCCTAGGACACTGGGAGACTGTGCCTGCTGAGAGTTTTCCTAGGAGGGGCTGAGAGCCCAGGGCCCTGATGGGTGGGAGCCTTGTCTCAACTGTGTTCCTCCCACCAGCTCTACCGTGTCCTGTTATAAACCTTCCTCCTTGAAGCCTTCATCTTCACCAGTCCACACAACAGAGACTCTGCTCTTGCTGGCTAAAGCATCGATCTTGAAATCTCCTCTCCCGAGCAGCCCTGATGCCTTCTCCACACATCTGGCCCCCACTGTTTCTGTCCCCACAGAAAAAGCATCCCAACTGACTGAGGCACCAGCCTTGTCCTTCTGCTTACAGGTTGACCACTGTGCTAGAGAGCCCCTGGGCCATCTCTGGGAGTGTTTTCCTATTTGAGCATGGTGGAGGTCTACTCAGCCCTTCCCAAGTTCTCTAAAGCACACTTTCTCTTAGCCTTTCCACGCACCCAACTCCAGCCTTCCTCTGACCCCTGTGTTGGAAGCCTGAACTCCATACAGTCCTGGCTTCTCAGGAGCTCCACACAGGCAGCCAGGCAGCCATCTTGGCAGGTCAGTGCCTGTTCACTCACCTCTAAGTGGAGCACTTATAGGGTGAACAAATCCCCTTCATGAAGCTGTTGACATCGTCTCTTGGCACAAATGACCTAGGCTTCATCTTCTTCCCTCAGAATGGTGAGGAAAATGAAGAAAAGCACAGAGTATCCAGCTTTCAGGCTCTGCTTCCAGACAGCCCCCCTTCCAGGGAGCAGCAAGATGGGAGTCGATTTCAGGAAGTCAATAAGGAGTTGCTAACATTTTTCTCCTGAAGAAAGAATGAAGACAGGATAAGGAACTTGTTCTGCAGCATTTTTTAAAGATCTAGTTTATTTTAATTGTTATATATGTGCGTCTATCTGTGTCTTTGTATGTGCACATTTGTGTGTGTGAGAGTGCCTGCAGAGGTCAAAAGATGGTGTTGGATCCCAAGGTTGTCTTTGACAACAAGCAGCTGTGTTTGTTGTGTGGCTTCTTCAAGCTCTCAGTGGAGTGTTCACAGTAGCTGGGTTTTTAGTATTTTATTCAAGGCAGCCAGGGCACCAGGAAAGGGTCTAACAACTGTCAATCAAGGCATCAAAACACCTCAGCCTCCCAGCATTGTAGCTTGTTAAAAGAAATGAAAAAAAAAAAAGAAATCTTACATTAAAAACACCATTAACACTAACAGTGGTTCAATAGCATCTTCCAGTGCTTAACTCCTGCCTGGAACTCTGAGAGAGCAGTGGGCCCCTTAATCAATTTCATTTCCTCTGCAAAAACCAGTCTTAGGGAACTTTTATCCAAGGCTAGCTCAAGGCAGGGCCTCTCAGAGCCCCTGACATGAGGAAAGGTCTCCACTGCAGTGAATACTCCTCACGACTTGTAGTAAGGACTGACCTATGACTTCTGTCTGCTTCCATGTCTGGATTCCATGCTAGGAGGCTGTGATAGGGAAGCAAGGTGGTGACTGGGGATGTGGGTTCAGGGTCTCCGGAATCTTCTCTAGTTCTGTGGCCAATGCATGGGAACCTGTTAGATGTCTAAATAGTCATTGGAAAGGTGACCAGCAAGTTAGTCATTTGGCTGTTTTCTCTGACTACAATTGTTGGTTAGGAGACCATAAAGAGACCCAGACAATGGTGGCATCAAATAACTATGTTTTAAAAGAAATAGTAAGTCAGGCGGTGGTGGCACATGCCTTTAATTCCAGCAGTCGGGAGGGAAAAGCAGGAGGATCTCTGTGAGTTCAAGGCCAGCCTGGTCTACAGAGTGAGTTCCAGAACAGTCAGGGTTACACAGAGAAACCCTATCTTTACCCCCACCCCTCAAAAGAAATAATAAAATGGTATTATCTGAGCCAAGTACAAGTGAGTGGGGTCTTGGAAACACAGACTCAAGTTACCCGGATGGCAAACTCTATTACTCACAACGAGGCTGCCTTACATCAGCTTGGCCAGATATGCAGCAGCCAGTGGGGTCATGAGGCAGGCTGACTGTGGAGACATGGGCATTCTTCCAGTTCAGATGCTGGTCTTTCACGAGTTCAGAAAATCTCTGCCTAGAGTCACACATTGTCGCATTCTTAGATTGTGGTTTGCTACAGCCAGAAGAATGTCAAGCTTGGTGTACATTCTAAGCTTTGTATCCAGTGGGCAGTGTGTGTGTGTGTGTGTGTGTGTGTGTGTGTGTGTGTGTTCAGGTCACTGCTCTGGCTCTGTCCACCTTCTTTTGAGACAGACTCTTTCACTGACCTGCAGCCCCTCATACATCCCTAGGACTGGCTTATAGGCATAAGCCACATATCCGGTTCCTATCCCTATATCAATTATGTCTTTTCATGGTTACTGTATTTATATGGGAAACAAAGCAAGCTCAGTTGAGATGATCATGGTATCCTGCGTGGGCAGACCTACACAGGCAAACAGACAAGCTCAAGGTTATTTTTGAACACAGATCAGCACTTGGCAAAGTGGATGACACGGTTGGGCTGCAGCAGCCCAGCTTCCATCTGTGCTTTTGGGTTCCAGGATTTGAACTCAGGACCTCATGCTTATAGAGCAAGTTCTTTACTGACTGAACTATTTCCCTAGCCCTCCCCTCCTATAACCCACCATGACTCTGAAAGATCCGCCACGGGGTGGGACCCTGGGGTGACCACTAGGGAATGCAGCATCACCAGGCAGAGGCGAGGACTTTATGGAAACTGCAAGAGGCTTTATTCAGTAACCGGTGGGCTGTGCCCAACTCGTTACTCATGCAGAAGCAGAGGAGTTGGACTCAGAGCTGGGGTCTAGGGGTTTCTTAAAGGCAAAAAGTGCAAACAGATGGGGTCTGGGGTAATCGAGGGTAACAGTTCTGATTGGCTGGTTCCAGGTAGCCGACCGAAATCTCCAGGCTCATGGGTCGTTCAGGGCAGTTACATCTCTATCTCTGGGAACCATTTGTCAGGGTGGAATTCCTCAACTTTAATGGTCCTTTCCTGCTTCCCCCTCTGCCTCCTGGTCCTCTATGGTGTGAACAGCCTTTACCTTATACCCCTGTCACCATGAACTGAGATTCCCTCCACGATGGACCCAAACCCTCTGAAATCATGAGTGAAGAGAAGTCTTCCTTCCTTCAGGCTGTCCATCATGCCATGCATTCTGTCTCAGAGACATAGAAACAACACAAAGTCATAGGCAGCCAAGCCACCTCCTGGGTAAAAACCTGGTTCTCCAATCCCAAGTGACTTTTTCACTTCAATTAAGTATACATCATTCTGTGGTGGCTTTAATGAGTATGTCCCCCATAGGCTCATGTATTTGAAGACTTGGTCCCCAAGTCTTGTGTTTGGGGAGGTTATGGAGCCTTTAGGAGGTGCAGCCTTGCTTAAGGAAATGTGTCACTGGGGGGTGGGCTTTGATGGCTGATAGCCTCACCCCATTCCCCCGCCCCTCTCTCTGTCTCCCTACTTCCTGCGTGTCTTTCCTGCCATGATGGACTCTTTCCTTCCGGAACTGTAAATCATGATATTTTATCACAGTAACATCAAAGTAACTAATATATTATTATGTGATCAGTACCACATACTTAAGTTATTATCCTCACAATTTATATAATTAAAACATGTAGAGGACTAGAGAGATGGCTCAGAAGTTAAGAACTGTCTGGTCTTTTAGAGAATTTGGGTTCAATTCCCAGGTCGTATGGCATCTCACAACTGTCTGTAACTCTAGACCTGGGAGTATGATGCCCTCTTCTGGCCCCCTTGGCCACCAGGAGGCATGCATGTGGTACATATACCCACATACAGGCAAAGCACCACACACATAAATGCTTGTTAGAAACAGCATAGAGAATGCACTCCTGATTTGTTCAGAACATGAATTACTTTTTTTATACCACGATGAAGAATTCAGACATGAAGAGTCTTCTAGTGTATTATTTATATAGGCCATTCTAAAGCAAGCAAAGTAACAGGATGAATATTCCAGAAATAGTGCCTTTCTGTGTGTGAAGGGTTTAACTGTGGCCCTCCCCCCATTTATATGGTCAAGTCTCTACCCCCACCTTTTCAGACTATGACTGTGCCATGTGATCCCAGCAGTTGGGGGATGGAGGCAGGAGGATCAGGAATTCCAAGTTCATCCTTAGTTACATAGTGACTTTGAGGGCAGCCTGAGTGACTTGAGATGTTGTCTCAAAAAAAAAAAAAATGACTGTGTTTGGAGTTAGGGCTTCAAATAATGACTGAGTTAAAATGAGGCCATTAGAATGAGCCTCTACCAACAAGGCTGCTGTCTCATATGAAGAAAAGGTCTGAACACAGGGATGACAGTGGGAGGACACAGGGAAGAGGTGGCATCTACGTGGTCCTGGAGACCCCCTAGGAAGAAGCCCACCCCATATTCAGCCTTCCTGTTTTCCTGATGGGATCTATTTCTGTTACTTAAGCTCTCAAGTTTGTGATAGTTTTCTCTGGCAGCCTCTGGAAAAATCTTATACTTTTGTGTTGCTCTGGCAACCATTTAAAATTAAAGTTGGACTTGCGCAGACTCAGTGCACAGACAGTTTCCAGTTAATACCTCCTCCAGTTTCCCAAAAGGTCAGTTCAGAAACTGTGTCCAGTCCCTTTCTCCTAGTGGCCATCTCCCCATTTTTCTGACTCACCCTCCTCATTCGGCACAGCCTATAGGAGCCACACAGATAAACCTCTTGAGTGCTGGATGATAATAAAAGTGTCTTTCTTTGTTTCTTTGTTGCTGTGACTAATGTCATGACCAAAAGCAATAAGAGCAAGGAAAGGGTTTATTTCAGCTTGCAGTTTGCAGTCCACCGTGAAGGGATGTCAGGGTAGGAGCTTGAAGCAGAAACCATGGAGGGATACTGCTCACATATTTTCTCCCCATGCTTCTCAGCGGCTCATCTAATATAGCCCAGGCCCACCAGCCTACAGACGGCAGTGCCCCCAGGGAGAAGGACCTACCCATGCCAACCTGAAATCAAGAAAACACTGTACAGATATGCTTCCCTGTTAATCTGATGGGGGCTGTTTTTTCAGCCTATATTCTCTCATCTTAGGTGAATCTAGTTTTATATCACACTGACAGCTAAAGTTGTGACAGATAAGTCGCCACACCTGATTACTTAGCAATGATTCCTAGGTTAAGTCGGTCTTAGAATGGGCGGTCAGATTACTTGTCATCCTCAGGAAAACTTTCATTGTAACGAGAAACACTTTGCAGCCACATGAGAGGAAGACTAAACAAAAGCCTGAGTTCTTACATTCTAAAAGGGTTGAGTGACCTGCTTTCTGGTATGCCTACCTTTTCCTTACATTAAAAAATATTCTCAGGAAGCTGCAAATCCAGAGGTTAGGGGAGTTGGCCACTGAGAGGGAAGCCTATATTGATGAACCACCTAGATCACATTCATTCCGTGGGAGAAGGTCTTCTTTGGTAATTGGTGCATGAGGGCCTAGTCCAGTGTGGGTGGCACCATTCCCTACACAGATGGTCCTGGGCTATATAACAAAGGTACCTAAGTACAAGCCTCCCAGTTGAGCCAGAAAGGGAGCCAGCTAGCAGTGTTTCTTCAAAGTCCTGCCCCAATGTGCCTCAAACATTGGATCGGGGTCATGGAAATACAAACTAAGCAAATGCTTTCCCCCTTTATGTTGCTGTTAGATCAGAGTGTTGTGTGACAGCAACAAGAAGGAAACTAGAACACAGGGGGAAGGGACAAAGTCTTGTCCTTTAGTTAATGCGTACCCATCACATTGTCCTTTAGTTAGTGTGTGTCCATCAC